CCAAAGAAAAGAGTTACCTGCACACTAGCTCAAATCCCTATGCATTTTTAAATAAATGGAATCCCATTTCCACTCCAATGGCGATTAGATGTAATCCCACCTGCCAAGACAAGGCAAACCTCTTAGGTGGGTCCTACACCAACAATTCACCTTGCTTCCTTCAGCTCCCGCTTGCCGTCCACCCCATGTGTTCCCTATTAAGGATTGCTAAGTATGTGAGTTTAGAAAAATACTCCTCTCTGTCTCATTAGAGATTTTATTTGCCTGAAGCTGAAGCAAGCAAGGTGAATTAGTGTAGGACCCACCTAAGAGGTTTGCCTTGACGTGGCCGGTGGGCTTACATCTTATGGCCATTTATTTAAATATGCATAGGGATTTGGGGTAGTGCGCAGGTAACTCTTTTCTTTGTTTTTTATTGTATGTATAGGAGCTGATGTGTACTATGGTCATTACTGCCACCCAGGAGAAGTGGAAGTCCGTGTGCAGGACTTATTTTTGTGTATTTGTACAAACTGATGTATGAACTTGCTATCACTAATTATTACTCAGGTAAGGAAAAGCCAACATGGTATGGATTTAGAAAAATGAATCCAAAAACAGTGTGGTTGGTATATTGCATTATCACTTCGTAGATCAACATACTTATAGATACATTTATTTGGTAGAATAATATTATAGAATATTACAGAATATTACAGAGGCAAGCCATAGTTTAAATGGATACTCTAAGCACCATAAATTTATAGAAACATAGAATGTGACGGCAGATAAGAACCATTCGGCACATATAGTCTGCCCAATTTCCGAAATTACTTTCATTAGTCTCTGGCCTTATCTTATATCTATAGGATTATAGGATAGTCTTATGCCTATCACCACATCCCACATTGTGTTAACCTCTACCACTTTAGCTGGAAGGCTATTCCATGCATCTACTACCCTCCCAGTAAGGTAAAACTTGCTGATATGTTTGCGGCACTAGAAGTCTATGGCAAAACCTCTCAGAAAAGTTTTGACTCTCATGTCCAGATCAGGATTTGTCTGCTTGTAGCTCACAATTTAAGCACCTGAAATTCTTTGTTGTACTACAGTTTGCCAATTTTTATGCAAATTTCCTTTTCTTTCTTTCAAGATTGGACTCTTTTTGATACTTCTGTATCATTGTCATTTGCAAACTAAATCTTAAATAGAGAAATAAAGAAAGAAAAAACATTTCAACCTAATTTCCATGTAAAATAAGTAAGCAACTATGGAAGAAACTTTGAATTTATTTAACCGCAAAATTAATATGAACCTTTCTATGAATCATAACACTGAAAAAATAGTGTTGAAATAAAATATCGTTCGATTCAAATATAGTTGCCAGCCTCCAAAATATTTCCATATTAAATTGCTACAAAGTGATAATTATAATGCAATATATACATTTTTGATTTAAAAAAAAAAAGTTTTATTAGGAATGGCCCACAGACTGAAAACTGCACAATTCAGTCTGCAATGATGAAAGTTAAATGGGGACATTCATTTAAAGTTCACACATATTTCTTGTTTCATTATATGCTTGAGAGCTGTTAAATATAAGGCACATTCATCAGCTCTCACTCCTTGGTGAATATTTATCAAGTTTGCAATCCTTACAAGATAGCATCATGAAAAGTAATAATTTCTGTCTAAATAACTCTCTAAATGGTAAAATCATTGTGCTCCACATGCCCAGGGATTTTTAGTCTTGCCTCTATCCTTATCTCTAAAGTGGCATATGCTTGTTTTGCAAGTTACAAAGCCTGTCACTAAAAAAATATACAATACTGCCTATATATACAGGGTGGCCCAAAGTAGGTATACAGTATAGTTTTTTGCATGTTATTACATTTATATTTGTTTAACACGATTTCATCTCGTAAGTGTTTGAAATGTCTTCCATCCCCATTGCAACATTCCTCGAACCTGTCCAGTACACGGTGACACACAATACATCACACACGCTCTGCATTTTCAGCCTTCCAGGACTGCTTTAGAATCCACTTTCTTTGTTCTTGACTCAAGTTTGCTGTCATCATTCACAATAAAAGCAAAGAAAAATAATTATTTTATCTGCTCTTGACTATTCTTTTCAACTGCCACACTGATATTTAAATGCCAGAAATGTAAATGCCACTTTGATGTGTGTCAGTGCTTATGTGTACCCATATAATCTGTTGTGATGATAAAATGTAATAGATACTGTATCTCCTGCTTTAAAATAGTAGTTATGGCGATCAAGTAATGATAGGCTGTGGTGAGCAAGTGGTGATGTGTAGTGGTGATCAAGTAATGATGGGTTGTGGTGAGCAAGTGGTGATGTGTAGTAGTGAGCAAGTAATGATGGGTTGTGGTGAGCAAGTAATGATGGGTTGTGGTGAGCAAGTAATGATGGGTTGTGGTGAGCAAGTGGTGATGTGTAGTAGTGAGCAAGTGGTGATGTGTAATGGTGAGCAGGTGGTGATATGCAGTGTTGTGCAAGTGGTGATGTGTAGTAGTGAGCAATTAATGATGGGTTGTGGTGAGCAAGTAATGACGGGTTGTGGTGAGCAAGTGGTGGTGTGTAGTAGTGAGCAAGTAATGATGTGTAATGTGAGCAAGTGGTGATGTGTAGTAGTGAACAAGTAATGATGTGTAATGTGAGCAAGTGGTGATGTGTAGTAGTGAACAAGTAATGATGTGTAATGTGAGCAAGTGGTGATGTGCAGTGGTGAGCAAGTGGTGATGTGTAATGGTGAGCAGGTGGTGATGTGCAGTGTTGTGCAGGTGGTGATGTGTTGTAGTAAGCAAGTAATGATGTGTTGTGGTGAGCAAGTGGCAATGTGTTGTAGTGAGCAAGTAATGATGTGTATAGGTGAACAATGGTGATGTGTGGTGGTGAGCAAGTAATGATGTGTTGTAGTGAGCAAGTGGCATTGTGTTGTAGTGAGCAAGTGGCAATTTGTTGTAGTGAGCAAGTGGCAATGTGTTGTAGTGAGCAAGTGATGATGTGTATAGGTGAGCAATGGTGATGTGTTGTGGTGAGCAGTCATGATGAGCTGTGGTGAGAAAGTAATGATGTGTAGTGGTGAGCAAGTAATGATTGTTGTGGTGAGCAAGCAATGATGTGTTGTAGTGAGCAAATAATTATATGTAGTGGTGAGCAAGTGGTGAAGTGTTGTGGTGAGCAGGTAATGATGTGTAGACACTGCATTAAAAAATAATTAATAGAATCATTCTTCAGTTAATTGTTGCAGCAACTCAAGTTCCACAGAGGAATTAAATTTGTAAGACAATGTGGGCACTTACATGATTAAATGTATCCCAGATCGTAATATTAAATTGATTATAACATTATGTTGATAAAGCGTCAGGACAGGTGCAAAACGCTTCCAGAGTTATTTTCATATTTTAGTTTTCCCCCTCCCCTGGCAGATGCAGGTTTTTACTTGTTTTTATTTTTGTATCACAGCATTTAAAAAAATAAAAATAAAATAACATTGGACTCCCCTAAAGGAGGACTTTAGGGGAGGTCTGCACATCTTTTTATGACATGTTGTTAACCATTTCTCTACATAAAGTATGCTCTTTCCATGATCTACCTGGTGGATTAGTCTGAGATCATTATGAGTGTGAGCTGTTTGGCTGGTTTTAGTGAAAAAATAAGTATCTGCAGACACTGCATCACGTTCTGTTGTCTAAGGGAACTGGTAAACAAGCAATGCTGACACTGCAACACTTTTTATTGTCTATAAGAAGTGTCATTGGTGAACTAGTAAAGATAAACAGACACTGCATTACTGCCTATGGTGTCACACTGGTGTCAGTGGTAAGCGAGTGATAATGTGCATGCACGGAATTCATTTTACATGCATGGTATGAGGCTACTGTCAGTGGTAACTAAGTGATGATATGTAGAAATTGCATCACTTTCACAGTGCAAGGCACATTTTAGTGGTGAAAACGAAATGATTCACAATCATTGATTTACTTTCTGTAGTCATATAGAAACTGCATCTCTCTCTCTCTCTCTCTCTCTCTCTATATATATATATATTTATATATATATATGTGTATATATATATAGTGTAATCATGTGTATTTATTGTGTATAATACCGTTAAAATGCCATGCAACTGCAGAGTTGTTCATCTTAACCTGATTTTAACAAAATGAACAGATACCTCTACAAATCCGCAAACTCTAGATGAACCCAGCATACAGCAGAGATCAAACTGAATTCATTTAACTAGATGTATTTTTTTCAAATATAGAGTAAGATGAAACTTTAAAGATATGGAATCTAATATACTAACGTTATATAAAGTAAACTTGGAAATTCATTTCACTCTGAACAGCAATTCGTCTGAATTTGGGCTGATCGGGCGATTGGCTGAATCCCCGAACTCCAAGCAGAAATGTACGTAAATCACAAACCAATCTAAAAGGTCCATATTAATTTGCTAGTCTAAATTCTGCCCCCCCCAAAAAATATTTATTGATGGAAAACAAGATGATTGATGGCTAGAGGGCAGTCACTAAATGTTGGTTTTATTCATAGATCAAGTGAGAAGTGAGCAATAGCGGGGAAAAGGGAGAAGAAGTAAAAATAAAAAGATCTATCTTAAATATTTCTAATACATATATAATATATGCAGATATAAATATAGATATATAATGTTTTTACTGCTCCTCCTGTTTTTCCCTCTGCTAGTTTTTCTCACATGATCTGTTAATCAAATGATGGGACAATGTTCCTATCAACGTACTGCAAAATATATATAATATAATATGAATATATTTTGCAGTACACAGATTGGCCCATTTTCACACCTTTTTGGTTTGTAATTCAGTACTTGCATCAGTATTTTTGGTACCAAAATTCTGCTGCGCAGAACTTACATAAGGCCAAAATTTCATGATCTGAAAAATGTTCTATAGTGATGTCCCGAACGGTTCACCGAACGGTTCGCTGTGAACGGTTCGCCACAGACTCCAGTCAGCAGACACATTCCAGCCAATCAGCAGCAGACCCTCCCTCCCAGACCCTCCCACCTCCTGGACAGCTCACTAAGAATGCAGCTTCAAAATGGATGCTGTCCAGGAGGTGGGAGGGTCTGGGAGGGAGGGTCAGCTGCTGATTGGCTGGAATGTGTCTGCTGACTGGAGTCCGCGGCGAACCGTTCGCGGCAAACCGTGGCGAACCGTTCAGGATATCACTAATGTTCTAATTTAACAAAAATGGTTCGGCCAAACTGAATTTTCTTTGCACAAGTCTAAAAGTCTAATAAAAATGTATACTCAACTACTCACATTTCTACTTAAAGGATGCATTTTCTTCCTAATTGAATACTATGACCTGGATGCTTCAAGGTACTGTTGTCTGTTGTAATAATGATGTCTTTATTTTCTGGATAATGTTGCATTGTGTTTAGTTTAAGCAACTCTGCTACCCTTTCCAAGTGAATTTGCCACAAGTTCCTGGAGAAGCCTGCTTGCCAGCCTCCTGCCGACAGACTATGGATCTTGTATAATGTGATATAAGTCTCCATTCGTGTATTTGGACTATATGGTTCAGAAACTGAACAGCCACATGAACTGCCCACCACCCTGGAGCTTGTTAGGCCTAGTTGATACTTTGTAACAATTTCCACCTCAGTGTTCTAAGTGTTTATCTGGGTGGCTGTAGTTTTTATGGACTGCCACAAGGTGGCGGCCATTTTGTTTGCATGAACGCAGGCAGCGGTGTTTGGGCATGAATCTCATGGAACTAAAATGGGACACAGAAAGTCTCGAACACCGCTGGACTTCCATGATCGCCTTTGACAACACTTAGAACGATACTGTTCAGTGGAAACGTCCCCACAAACAAGGGGAACAAGCTCCAGGGTAAGACTATTGACTATGTTTGGTAGTTTGTTCATTTTTAAAACTACTGAACTAGACCGACCGCATGCTCTGATTCTCTGGAACTGTTTTGGGAATGGGGCCATGCTTGCGGTCAGTCAAAATAAGACTTCCAGGAAATTAGTGAACCACTGAACTGATCTGGGTGATTTTTTGATATATTGGTCACCCAGATCAGGGCTTTTGGGGGATGTAACTTGTGGGGTTATGTGTATTTTTAGGGTACTTTTGGGGTGTTTATAAAACTCGTGTTTTTTGTGCCTGGAGATAATTGAGTTAATACAGTATCTGACTCTATCTCCCAGGCAGAAGGGAAGAATTGTATGTTTGCTGTGGGAGTGTTGTGCATTTTAACTCTATTGTCATTGGTCTTTGACTTTGTATTGAAGATTTAACCCTTGTGTCTGCTGTTCCAGCTTGCAGGGGATTCAATGGGGTAAGCTCTCAGGAGTGTCGTCCAGTGCCTGGGAGTGTCTAGAGCAAATTCCCCATTTGGCTCCAGGAAGGAGCGGTTCCAAAGCCCCAGTCAAGCCACGGCGACTTTAGGAAGAAATGCTGTAGTTTGTCCCCTGTCCCAGATACCCAGCCAGGGGTACAGGGAGCTCCATTACAATACACATGTGATAGTATTACTTTAGGGAGATTTAACCTAATACCAGAGTAGTAATACAATTAGGCATAAGCTGCTACTGGACATTGTAGTCAAGTACCAGCAGATGTGCAGATAGTTGAGGTCACGCTAAGCTAATACACATGACTTCAGATCTAGATCAGGAATGTCCAACTAGAGGTGATACAGTTTAAAAGACTACACTCTATACCATAAAATTGGTAATGATGTAAAATAATTAAGGTGCTTAGAGAGTGACTAACTTTGATCCAGAGATGGATATCATGTAATCATTTCTAAAAGTAACATGCAGACAGAGACAAACAAAAAAAACCTTCTTCCTTAATAGCTCTCTTCTTTAAGATAAAATAAACACATTTTTGTTGAATTCAGTCAAAGATGGTACTGAATTAAAATAGCAATTGTGATAGCGAAGTAGAATGTGTTTTCAGTCATATTACCTTTATGCCACGTTTTCCATAGATGTTTGTCCAATATATAGCATATGGATTCCTAGACTGTACTAATATCTGGGTAGACTGTGTCAAATAACTGCAAAGTTCTCTACTCAATGTGATCCTTGTCTGCAGGTAGCACGGTCCTCTTGGGCACAAACATGCACAGTGTTTTAAGGCAACTTAATTCCAGGCATGTTATTGTTAAACTCCACCACAGATACAGCAGCAAAAAAAAAACCAGTAACACAAATCCCTATAAACAAAAACCTAGCTCGGTCTGAGCACTAACTAACATCAAGTTCCCTATCTCTCAAGGGTTTAAACTATAACAGAACAAAATTTGGTTTCACCAACCTAGTGCCTTTGTCAGATCGCTGCACTCCACACTCAGTTAGCGTGTGGCTTCCATTCCTTCTAGAAAAACAATAAATTCTCTCTCCTTTTACCTGCCTAGCAGGGAGGGGTTTATTCCTACTGCTGCAGCTGATCACCTGCCTGGATCTATGTCTCCCAAGAAAACCACTAAACTGCGGAGTGGAGCACTGGCCCACCCTGCTCTCCAAATGCTCCATCCCAGGGGCCCATAAACAAAAACCTAGCTCGGTCTGAGCACTAACTAACATCAAGTTCCCTATCTCTCAAGGGTTTAAACTATAACAGAACAAAATTTGGTTTCACCAACCTAGTGCCCACCGCGCTCTCCAAATGCTCCACCCCAGGGGCCCATAACTAAATATTCATTTAGGTTATATACATACACACACTCCCCCTGGGGTTAAAAATCATATGCCTCTCTGAACAATTCAGTCGAAATATAAACTCCCTCACAGACCACCCAATTCACCTTATCACCTTAACCGTTCAACCAAATATCTCCAGGAAAGAATTTTAACCCTAGGCTTTGGCACAACTTTTTAGACTTGGCCTTAGACTGAATTGGCGGCATCAAGTGGTCATGGAACAGTACATAATAATTAATCTGGCAACAGATCCACTTGGCTTTTCCTTTTCCTTTGGTTGCAAATTACCAGGAGAAAATGTATCATTGTGCAAAGTGGAATTGGACAAGTTACAGTAACAGCCTTAGATTAATTTAGAATATATTCAGTATAATTTAAAAAAATGAAATATAGTCCACCACCAAATAAGATGTTATATCTCATACAGCTGTGGATGTCAGCAGGGACACTTTAGAAGCCACTCTCTAGTCCTGGGATAGGCAACCTTTGGCACTCCAGATGTTGGGAACTACATCTCCCATGATGCTTTGAGAGCACTATGGTTGTACGAGTATTATGGGAAATATACTCCAAAACATCTGGAGTGCTGAAGATTGCATATCCCTGCTCTAGTCTATTCTATCATCAGATGTTCTAATCTTGCACACAATTAAAATAATACATCCTGCATAGAAGCTGCACCTCTGAATACAACCACCTCTAAATATATGAAGCACAATCTGCCCTTCTACATTCTCTGTATAGTTCAATGATGCAGTAGTTACCTAACCTGCTATAGTACGTGTATTGAGGCTGATAAGGTTAAAATACATTTTTAATGTTTGACTACTGACAACCGGCCAGTGAGAGAGTAATATTAATTGCAGCATCATTAGCAAAGCATCGAAAGATTACAGATGCAAACTCATGAACAAACATATGTCCTTAAATAATACACTCATAAACACATATATATACATACATGTATAGAGGTTGATAGACACACACAACAGGTACACACCTATAAACACACACACACACACACATTTGTGCATATAGTTAAAGAGATATGTCAGTGATGGACTGTATACTCAAACAGCATGGTTCTGGGTTCAGAAGCTAACATGATACATGATACTCACCACTGGTTTCTGCAAATTCAGAATGAACTGCATAATTTACATAGAACCTTTGGAAAAGTCAACTTTGGGCACATTATTTTATTTTTAAAAGCTCTGTAATACACACAATGATCAATCTATCCATCCATATCATATATTAAACATGAAGAAAATAACCATAAATAAAAGAAGAATACCTGGTAAAAATTTGGCCAGAAGGTGCTAATTGCCAGCTCTGCTCTATTCCATGTACCAGTTGCAGTCCCTGATATATTCCAGATCGGGCTACCGAGAGGACCATTGTTCACCGTGACATAAATATTCAGGAACCCAGGAAGTGACCCACTTTTACTTGACACAAAATAGTGAAAGTCAATACAGTGGGTGTCATTCTCTTTTAGTTGAGGTAACAGCAGCGTTGCTCTTTGCCCAGCAAATCTTCCCGAAGTATTCACCATCATGAATGACCCTAAAATGTAGAAAGAGAAAAGAAAACAAACATATCACATTTTTATTCAAGATGATAAATAACCAACAGACAGAAGACATGAATGTGAAAAGCAAAAAGTTATGATAACATTTGCATAATAATTATTTTGAATCATTATACAATTACCATCAAATCTGCACTGTTGTGGTTACTGTCTTATTTTGAAGTTCATTACTGTAAAAGTATAATAAGTATACGAACAAACAATCATTGCTGATGGAATCCAATGAAGATAACAATACTACCTAATTCTGCTCTCCATATGCTTGTTCCACCATGTGAAAACATCACCATACTCCGGGCCGGCTAAACTATACGTTGGCACAGGTGGCCACCTAGGGTGCTTCACCCTAGTAGTTGCAATCTCTTGGTGACCAGCTGAGGTGGAGTGCCTGTCACTCCATGTAGCGTGACTGAACAGACCACAGTGGATGATCTTCTATATCCTCTACCCAGTTTGCCCAGAAGTGCTCACTGAGAGCAATGAGCAACGAGCAACTTCCTGTCAGACCTGAAGATCCTCTACCACGGTCCACACGGAAACACTACAAGGAGGTAAGCAGGAGGAAAGGTAAGTGAGTCCTACACTAACCTTTCACCTTGCTTCCTTGAGAAACAAGGTGAAAGGCCATTGGAGAAACTAAATAACCTCCATTTGTTTAAATATGCATAGGGATTCGAGAAGAGCGCCGGTAACTTTTTTCTTCGGTTTTTACTACATGTATTGGGGTTGATGTGTACTATGCTCGTTGCTGACGCCCAGGAGTGATGGGAGTTTGAGCGCAGGACTTGTTTTTTTGTCTAAAACATTTATGTGGGGTGGCTAGCTCCTCTTCCCTTATGAAATACCTAATTAT